TTGTGTTCTTTCAGGTGTTGAGTAGTCGAGCGCAATGTCTAGAGCCGGTAGCTTAGTACCTGTACCTTTACACTGTGTTTTTGGTGGCCTGCGTGCCAATGGTTTTAGATTGTTTTTAGATGGACGTTTTGGGATAGTGTGTTACACTTGCAGATTGTCGCCTTAGCGTTACCTCGTGTGGTATACGTGGCATGACACCCCTATTTTGGATTTCTTTTATCCAGTTTCCATTTATCTTCCACTGTGCTAGTTTTATTGTTAATCTGCATGTGTTAAGACTTGTTTTTAGGTCTTGTTGTTTTTGTGGGGGGTGTTACATAAACACCCGTTATGCCTTTACTTACTCTTTGTTATATATAATTCATCCTTGGAAACCTTAAATTGTTATGAGCTTGGAATCATTGACATTGCTCTAATTTTGTATCCCTCTCTTCCGAACCCTTTCTAAAACCCTACAAGAGGTGTAAACCCCTTGCTTTGTCTAAATTGCGTGAAGGTTGATGCTTATTAGGTTGGTGTTAGGATAGTTGTTAAAAATGACTCGGCGTGTTAAGCAGAGGCAACGGAAGCATAGAAAGTACTATGCACTAAGCTTCACAGCAATGAAGATCTTACTTTGGAATGAGGACCTCGATGGTTTTAAGGCACCGTAAGAAGTACATGCGATACACAAAATCGCCAAACGTCATGCGGCGGCACTCCAAGAAAGAGAAAGGCATCACTAAGCATTTGGTCGCTAAAGGATTAAATGGGACCGGACGACAAGCCAAACTTCAAGAAAGACCAAGAGGGCTTGTTGTTAACCAAGACAAGGAAAAGGCAAAAGATTGGATTACAGCCAGCTACCTTATGCAGATTCCAAGATTGCCAACTGTGAACAAGACGCGACCTATTGAGCAATTAGTAAGGGCATGCATGAATCCTTGGGGAAAGGAACAATGGATCACCTCAAGGTGTTGACTTTAGTAAACGACTTAAACTCACGTCTCATTTCCAAAAATGTATTATCGATTGCGTTAGTTGTGAAGTTACAGTTGAACCCTACAATTCAACCAACTAGGAATGATTGACAAAAAGAAACGTGCAAAGTCGAGTTAAGAACTTGCGCTACAGACTTACAAAAGCCTCAAGTCAAGCCCTAAGGATGGACCGAGTTTCTTACAATCTTGGTTATCGTTCGCATCTTCAAAAGGACTCCTTCAAGATTTTGTAAAGAGCAAGAATGCCGACACCCATGGTACAAACCCATTCCAGTCCTTAACCCTTTGTTTACCTTACTAAATGTCCCCGAATCCGTGAAGAATAATGGAGACATCCTTTTCACCCAAGAAGAACAAAATAAGACGACTAGAGTCTAAGGACATTTCTTATCATAAGATTTCGTGCACCCATTCTAGGGTCGTACGTTCACGGGAAGTGTATGGAACACTTTGGTAGCAAGACCTCAATTACTTTAAGGGTCAAACAAGGAAGTAAAATAACTCGTAAGGACCGCCAAGTCATTTCACAACAAGAATCAATAACGGACTGCATTCCAAGAAGGAAGGAAGCGTGCTAAGAGCTTTCGCTACTAGAAGCATCACCAAAAGGGAGCAACAAGCCAAATTTTGGGAGGGACGTGAGGACGTGCTAAGGATCTCACCTACCAAGGAAGAGATGAAATTCAATAAAACGAGGAAACCAACCCAAAGTCCCTTGATCCTTAAGAAACCCCAACAAGAATCGGGAGTTGAGACCTAGGGATTGGCTTTGCTAACCAACAAGGTCAAGACTTTTGGGCATTTTGGGAGAGTATGCACGGAATTCATCACGGGAATTCCTTCAAAAGCGATAAAGATGGATAAGATTTTAGCTTGGGAAGGAAAGATCAACGGAAACCTTAGAGACAGGTGGTGCCAAGACTGAAAGGGCCATCAGTTCGTCGTTACGTCATAATTTAACGAAGCTACAAACAGGAATAATCGCTTGAAGTCAAGAATCCTTAACCCCATTCTAGCCAAATTCCTTTCCTTTCTTTGTCTATCGAATACCGTTTCATTAAGGGACCCATTCTACCCTTTCAAAACTCATTTTTGATTCCTTATTTCAAATGATACCATACAAGGTGGCAACCTTACTTCCTAAGTTGCAACTTTGAAAACTTTGATCCTATTTCCTAAATTGACTTTGTCCTCAAGATTGAAACCCGAATCGTCCACTCTCATTATCCTTCCAACCCAATCCTTATGGTTCTATTCATGGCTATAGGGTTGCTAGAGGTGCTCCCCATATCTCACATTTATTTTTTGCTAATGATAACCTACTGTTTTTCAAAGCTAATGCACAGGAGGCTGGTGAGATTAAGAATTGTTTGCCTATGTATGAGAATTTATCTGGGCAGGTGGTTAATTATCATAAATCTAGCATATGTTACAGCAAGAATACATGTGAGACAGACAGAGAAGAAGTGGCGGGCAGATTCTAAAAGCAGTCCAGGCCCCTAATTTTGGAAAATATTTGGGACTACCTTATTTTTTAGGAAGAAACAAGAATACAACTTTCTCATATATTGAAGATAAAATCAGGCAGAGAATTGGATCGTGGAACAAGAAACTATTATCGTAGGCCGGTAAGGAAATCTTATTGAAATGTGTGGCTCAGTCTTTGCCTACGTTTTCAATGGGTGTTTATGTAACACCCCAGATTTTTAAGACATTTTAAGCTTATATAATAAAGGTAATATCTCATTACATCCCAAAGTATATCATAAGTGTACGGGGTGCTATGCCACACCTGGGCTAGAGAACCCAGGTGCACAGGCTGTCTAACTAATATCCATTGAAACACAATGCATAATATGGCGCGCAGGCCGAAAAGGGAAACTAATCTACTTCTACGTTCCAGTTCTAGCGCGCTCCAGTGCTCTAGTCCTCTGTGCCTGAAAGCCAAATATATCTGTTCAGCGAGAGATGCTGGTAACCCACTCCAACGCGTTGAAATACAATACATATAGAGATATATATAGATATACGAAAACCATTTTGAGCATGAAGATATATCCTACGAACTCTAGCTTTAAAACCGGGGATGACTCGACAGATAAGGCTAGACACAAGCAACAGTTATAACAAGCATATGCAGTTCACAACAGATAAGGCAGATAAGGCAAAGCATAAACAATGATCATAACCCAACATGAACATTCCCCAATATAAATCCCATAGTCACATCCCCCAAGACACTCGTAATCACAACTCGTCCATGTCACAACACATAACACACTTTGTTGGCGCCACAGGACCAATCGGATGCCCATACATGAAGGTCAGCGCATATAGCTCTGACACGGCCCCGCAGCACCCTGCCCCGTATCGCAACACGGAGGGGTCGATCGCAACCGACCGATGAACCGCAGCTCATCATAGTGTTTGATCGCAACCAAACAGTGGACCGCAGCCCAAGAGAATGTCATCTGACCGCAGCCAGGAAAAAGGACGAACCGCAGCTCGTATAGAAACGTTTGATCGCAACCAAACGGTGGACCGCAGCCCAAGAGTATCAATCTGACCGCAGCCAACTTCTGAACCGCAGCTCAGGATAACCAATCCGATCGCAACCGAATTGGGGTAAAACACACATATAACACATAGCAAGCACATGCAACCCACATTACACATTAGGAAGGGGGAGAAAACGTATAACAAAACCTATGCGTGATCCATCACATACTAAGAATAGTCCTAAGGGATTCATGCTTCTACCACCTAGGTCAACGGGATACCAATTCAACTAGCATACAATATAATAGACTCATAAACCTACGAACGGTAACCGAAACATCAAACTAGACATAGGCACGATAAACGGAGTCCGTTGGGACACCACGGGGAACGGGGGAACATCAAACGGGGAAGCCGGGATCCCAAGGTGGGATAATTTCCAGCGGGTAGCCGGTGGGTGGGGGCCACCCGCCGGCTGCCCGCCGGTCTTTACTGTTCCGGGCAGCGGGTCGCCGGCGGGCAGCTGCCCGCCCGCCGGCTACCCACTGCCGGGCGGTGTTTCACGGCCGTGGGTAGGTGGCGGGTCCCCTACCCCCCACTGACTCTTTTCACACACTTTATGCCCCGGGAACCGTTGTGGAACCCGAAACCATGCTTAGACACTTTACGACGAAATTAACGACAACACGTAGCCAATTAACGAATCAAATACAAGAAACGAACGGCACATAACCTATCATGCTTTTCTAAATATAATCAACACCCAAACATGCGATTTCCCCACCCGATAATCCAAGAATAAGATCATACGATACAACCTAGGGTTCTAATCACTTTTATATCAACAAGAATACGGTTCGTCTTCTAATTGCAAGATTCGGTAAGAATAACACATAAGCATCAAGAACGTCACACAATTATCAGGAACAACACATGATCATCAAGAACTCCATATAATTATCAAGAACACCATAATTATCAAGAATCTCCCAATATCAAGATTGTCAAGATCCCCCATGGGATCATCACATCAATTACCAATAATAATCATCATAACTCGCCAATATACAATAATATGGGGAAACCCTAAGGGGAATTATAACTATGAAAATAGGTTTTGTTGAGACATGGGTTACCTCTTAGCCTTAATTAATTCCTTGGCTATGAAGGATCTTTCTTTAAGCTTCCTTGCTTTCTCGATTTCTCCTAAGGGGATTCTTGGAGCTCTTTTGGGGTGGTGGGGCGTTAATCTTGTGGGGGAGTTCTAGGTGCCTCTTAAGTCCCCAATTTATATATTTAGGAGTCCTAATTAGGAACTAATATTATAGGCTTGCTAATTCTATTCCTTTTGGAACTAAGGATTGGGTTTATGGGTTGGGTTTTGGAACTAAGTAATTCTATCCCTAATTAATCATTATAATTTATTCTTTCTCTTGGGCTATTGATTAATTAATTAAATGGTTTTAGGGGTCGTAACACGGGGTGTTACAGTTTATTTGCTACCTGTGTCAGTTTATTCAGCTATTGAGCGAACCATGAACTGGTATTGGTGGGGATCTGGAGCCGACCGAGGTATTCACTGGCAAGCGTGGGATAAGTTATGCATCCCTAAGAAACATAGGGGTTTGGGTTTCAAGGATTTACGGGCATTTAATTTGGCATTGTTGGGTAAGCAGGCATGACGCTTTCTTACTAAACCTAATTCTTTGGTGGCTCGTTTTTACAAGGCTAGATACTATCCTAAATGATCATTCTTTGAAGCATGTTTAGGAAATAACCTTAGTTTCTGTTGGCGTAGTATTATGGCAGCTAAAGGCATGGTTTGTAGTGGTGTGAGACGCAGGATTGGGGATGGGGAATTTACGCTAATTTGGGAGCATCCTTGGCTCCAAGATGATCAAGATCCTATGATACAAACTGAGATGCCTCCTCAACTCACTGGTGCTAGAGTAGTGGGTTTCATTTACCAGGATATTGGTATGTGGGATCATTCAATTCTGTCAGATATTTCCGTACCTACTGATGTAGCTCGTATTTTAAAAATACCAGTTTCCCCAGACTGCGAGGATACTTGGTATTGGCATGGGGATCCTAAAGGTTACTATTCTATTAAGAGTGTCTTCAGGCTAATCATTGGGAATTAGGAGAATAATAGTGGGACATTTGATAAATGGCTCACCATTTGGAAGCTTAAAATCCCCCCCAAATGGAAAACTTTTCTATGGAGAGCTCTAAGTGATACCCTCCCCACCACAAAGAACTTGCTTATAAAGAGGGTGGATGTTGAACCAAATTGTGCCATGTGTGGTATCATCCATGAAGACACTATGCATGCTTTGGTGTTATGTGATTTTGCAAGCAACATTTGGAGCCAATATAGCCTTTCAATTCCTAATATTGTGAAAAATATTTTTCATGCTTGGTTTAGTCAAGTCTTGAATATTCTAGACACTAATAGAATTATGTACACAGCTGGAATTCTATATTATATTTGGAGGGCGAGGAATGGTGCGGTCTGGGATGCTTGTCTTCCATTGCCAAGAAGAGAGATTGCGGCTGCCACTTCTGCATTGCAAGCATGGCGTCACGCTCATCCGGACGCCGGCCGCCAGCCACCGACCGAGACTGCCGAATCATCCCACTCTGCCTTGCTTGCCGAGGCTTTCCCTGCCGCTACCAACAATGAATCTGTGCCACTGCCGAGCCAACCGAGAAGGTGCCAGTTACCGACATGCGACGAACAGTGCGACGGTAGGAGCAGTTTTCCTAGACGGGAATGGTGGGTACATCTCGGCCTTCAGTGCTTCTCTCTCGGACTGCTTCTCCCCACTTATGGCCGAGGCATTTGCATGCAAAGAAGCCTTATCATCGTTGAGGGATCGCGGAGAACGGTCTATAGTGCTACAAACAGATTGTCTAATGCTTCAACAGTTGCAAGATTTACATGTCAGCATTTGACTATTGTTTAGTTTAGTTTATTCCTAGATCAGAAATTTTTTTAGCTCATTCTTTAACTTCATTAGCTTTTGATCAGACTATTGCTTTGTATTGGGATTAGGAACCACCTGATTCAATTTCCGCATATTTTGAATAAATACCAAAGTTTGGTTTCTTTCAAAAAAAAAAAAAAAAAAAAAAACAAACATCATATGATACGATTGATAGAGACACCATCTCTCCATCAATATTCAATATCCTTCCTCTCTTAATTAAATTGAAGTACCAGTGTACCACCCAACAAAATTGCTTTATTTATATTCTTAAAAGATAAAATCACGTTTTTACTTTAATTTTGTAATTTCTAAAAAATGTGCTTACCAAATACCAACACAAATTTTTTTAAATTCGTTGTCTATCTTCCTTAATAAAAAGGAGAAATTTCTCCAATTAATAAACGTTATCATATTTCAAAAATTCTTAGGGGTGTATTCAATCAAGACTTTTAATGACTTTAAAAGTTTGTTAGTATTCGAGATTTTTATAGACTCTTTAAAAGTCTACTGGTATCCGATTCGTACTTATAAAGAGTCTTTAAAAATATATTGTTATTCAACTCAAACCTTTATAAAGTCTTTAAAAGTCAACTACTATTCAAAAAGTTATTAATTTTATAGACTCTATCTGAATAGGATTTCTGTACACTTTTATTCAAAAATATAAATAGTTGAAATCTAACATTCGAACTTCAAACTTTTCAACTTTCTCTACAGACTTTTTTTTCTTTGTATAAACCAAACAGACTTTGTATGTTTCAACACTTTCATAAATACTCATATGTTTTTGGTTTTTATATTTTTATTTTCATACATCTATAAAAAATTATAGCAAATATTTTATTATTGTTGCAAACAACAATTAGGTTTTGTTACTATTTCATACTCATCATTTGATATGTATATAATGTTGGATATCCGTTGGTAAAAAACAAATAATAATCCAATTAAAATAAGATTATTATTTTTTCTGGAAAAAGAAGGGAAGGAAAGATGGAGAATTTGGCTAGAGTTTGGTGTTGGGTTTTTAGCAAGAGTCAAGCGATCACTCTTTCCTTAAAACCTTATTTGACACCTCCCAAAAGTGCTAGGAGCTTTGTGGCCTAGGCTTCCCAGGATAAAATTTGTTGCGATTCAATGTTTGAGCACCCAAACAAGGAATCCGACGAACAAAGCAAGGTTATGAACACAGTATGGCTAAGAAAGAGTAGAAGCAGAGAGTTTTGAGGCTTAAAAAAATGAACTTTCTTGTTCTGTGTAAATCTCTACTGCCCAACTCCTTATATAAGGGTGGGAGATTAAATACATTTTAATTAGGCACTTAAGGGCACCCCTCCAACTCCTATAACAACAACCATTTACATGGATTTTAATTCAAAATTTAAAAATAGAATTAATTCATAGAATTAATCCCGTAACAGCTGAATTAAATCCCAACAGTTACAAACAGGAGCTTCAGTTCGGCCATGGCAAGGCCGAACTATCGGCTATATTTCTTTCGGCCCAAGGTGAAACAATTTCACCACCAAAATTTAATATAATATTGTTTTGGGCCAAGGTGAAACATTGTACTTCACCAAGCAAGTTTCAACCAAGCTGGCTGAATTGGAATCTCATTTTGGGATTAGATTTGCACCCCCTTGCGCGCGAGAGAGAGCCTCTATGCTATACAATTCAATAAGTTTAAAAATAACTCTTGTATAAATAGTGGGGCAAATCCTCTTCCCAAATCAATGTGGGACAAAAGCTCACTTTTTCCGTTCATTATTCCAACTCAGTGTGTCTACTTTGAGAATCAATATCTCATTCACCCATTATCCGTTTTGAGCGTACAATATATCAATCTTTTCGTCTCACTACGAAGAATCCGAATCCACTTTGATCCGACCCAAATTGGAAGTGGACCCCACTTATAATTATACCACAAAATAGCCACTTAACATGCTATTTTATGCCATTTTAAGCTATTTTTTTTCAACAATCCCCCACATGAATGAAAAAATTGATTTTGAGGGTATTTTGAAATCGGAAAAAACTGTGTTCAAGCGAGACCCCCACAGTGACGCGCTCCGTTCCATAATTTAGTTGTCCCATTGAACCTAGGTGCCAGCTAGGTTGGGTATCCACTATAGAACTTTTTAGTCCAAGGGAATTAGACCCATTCCTCGTGTCAACTTCTCCACGACTTCTTTGCCTAACCCTTTGGTCAGCGGATCCGCTATATTGTCTTTTGACTTTACGTAGTCAATCGTGACAACACTAATTGTGAGCAACTGTCTAATGGTATTATGTCTCTGATGCATATGTCTAGACTTACCATTGTACATATGACTCTGTACTCTCCCAATTGTGGCTTGACTATCGCAATGCACACATATTTGAGGTACTAGTCTTCCCAATTAGGAATATCCTCTAGAAAATGGCGTAGCCATTTAGCTTCTTCACAACCTTTGTCCAATGCTATCAGCTCAGATTCCATCATTCTAGCTATCACAGTTTGCTTAGAGGATTTTCATGCAACGGCTGCACCGGCTAGTGTAAACACGTAGCCACTCGTGGACTTAGTGTCCTTAATATCATATATCTAGTTCGCGTCGCTATACCCTTCAAGTACAGTAGGATATCTCCCGTAGTGCAGTCCAAGATCACGAGTATACCTCATGTATCTCATAACCTTTACTATTGCATAGCACCGGGGTTACTCGTATATCTACTGAGTTTACTAACCGCATAGGCAATATTCGGCCTAGTACAACTCATAAGATACATCAAACTACCAATAACCCGAGCGTATTCCACTTGTGAAATACCTTCTCCGTGGTTCTTGGTTAGATGAACGTTTGTATCAAATAGTGTTCTAGCCAAATGATCATCATCTTTGTTAAATTTCTCAAGGATTTTGTCAATATAATGTGATTGGCTCAACATAAGACCATCAGGTCTTCTAATGATTCTAATCCCAAGGATTCAATCAGCCAAACCCATATCCTTCATGTCAAATCTCGCATTTAACATGTTTTTGGTAGACTTGATCATTCGATCATTACTACCAACGATGAGAATATCATCGACATATAAACAAAGAATGACGTAGCCGTCTATCGTTTCCTTAACGTAGACACATTTGTCACTTTCGTTTATTTTAAACCCGTTAGTTAACATCGCATGGTCAAACTTCTCGTGCCACTGCTTAGGCACTTGTTTCAAACCATAGAGCGATTTAACCAACTTACACACTTTCCTTTCTTGGCCCGGAACCACAAACCCTTCGGGTTGTTCCATATAGATTTCCTCATCTAAATCGCCGTTTAGGAAAGCAGTTTTCACATCCATTTGATGAACTTCCAAGTTCCGCAACGCGGCTATGGCAAGTATCATCCTAATGGAGTTTATTCTTGTCATGGGAGAATACATGTCGAAGTAATCAAGGCCCTCACGTTGCCTGTAACCCTTGATTACAAGCCTAGCCTTATACTTCTCGATGGAACCATCAGGTTTCATCTTCCTTTTAAAGACCCACTTGGATCCTAAGGGTTTACTACCCGGAGGAAGATTAACAAGTTCCCAAGTGTGATTCTGTAGTATAGAATCCACTTCACTTTTTATAGCCTCTTTCCACATTGGTCCTTCCGTAGAAGTCACGGCTTCTACATACGTTCGAGGCTCGTTCTCTATCAAACAAGATAGAAAATCGGGTTCGTTTTCTAATAAACAAGTTAGAGTACCCGAATCATATTCTAACAAGTAAGTTAGAAAATCAGGAGCGAATGATTTTCCAACTCTCGCCCGCTTACTGCGTCTCGGCTCGAGCTCGGGTTCTTTCTCAGATTCCCCACTATCATTATCCATAGTTTCGTCAAACGTTCATTTTGACGTACTTGGTCCCTCGTTTGACCTACAAGGAAATATATTTTCGAAGAAATATGCATTCCTTGATTCTATTATTGTGTTCTCATATACGTCCGGATTATGAAACTCATGTACTAAGAATCGATAAGCACTACTATTATGCGCATAGCCAATAAAGATATAGTCCACCGTCTTAGGACCTATCTTTACTTTCTTGGGTGTTGGCACCAAAACTTTGGCAAGACACCCCCACACTTTCAGGTACTGGTAGGAAGGTTTCCTACCGTTCCACAGCTCATAAG